AAACTATCCAGTGAGCCCTTGTGCTCTACAGAAGGTAGGTACTGTCATCCTGGAAGAGATCACTGTCATCAAGACAGTGATTAACAGATTAAGATGATATCTTAGAAGAAATCAATATTGATTTTCAATGTCTCACAAACCATGCCAGCAGCACAACTGTACCACGTAATATCCTCAGTGTAGGGGGTCAAGTATTCAGGTTTTTCCTTTAATCTGTCACCCATCCATGTGTGTGTGTGTTCATATGAATATCAAAGTGTAGAATCACAAGTCCCTAAAACACATCTGACAAGCACTGTAAACACAGACACCAGACATGTGGTGCCCGCACGTACTTTATGTGCAAGAAAGCATGTACGCGTGTGAATGCGTGAGTGTCTATACCGTGTTTTGATTGTTGCGCACGCACACACAATGACACACACTTCGCCCTCGTGCCAGTGAAGGCAGATGGTGAGAAGCGGAGCCAGCCCTCTCACATATCCCAACACAATAGCAGTCTTTCCCGGGCGGTAAGACTTAAAGCGGAGCTTTGGCGCTGCATCACAACATGAAGACACTCGCTACTTGAATCCTTTACAATGACGTAATAAGCAATAACATCAAGTCACATGGGAATGACTATTTTAAAGTCATACCTGGGATAACACGTTGTTGTTGTGCGTTTCGTTTTGGCTTCCTTTGCGGGACAACAAATAAAACAAATAAAGGATCTCAATGTGAACTTTTTAAACAACTCCACATTAAGTTTGCTGGTAATGGCAAAGATGTGTGGCTGGTGATGCTATACAAATACACACAAAAAAAGTTAAAAAACTAGAGAACAATTAGGCTCCAAAAATACAAGATACTGGCTTATAAGCTAAATTATAAGACAAGTACACAAATTACAAGAAAGATCCATTTAGGCATCACTTGTGTTGGCCAAATCAGTTGTGTGTCTCCAAGTATTTGGCTGTTGACCGTGAGCCAAATGTAACCAGAAAAATCTTTCAAAATAGAAAACTGAATCATCACACTTGAAACACAAAAGGAGACGTTGAAATAAGGGGCCTCTAGAGAGCCCCCCCGCATCCTAAGAAATTAAAACAGGCCTATTCAACTAATTTCAAGGTTCAGGATCTGAAATGATGACGTGATTTTACCATCAGGCCTGCTTTGCATAAACACAAGCCAGAAGATATCCAAAGAGGATTCAGGGATCGTTAACGAGTTCATGTCAAAACATTTTGCATCAATTAAAAATACAAGTCTTTATAAAAGCCATGCCTTCAACAAATTTAAGACATTCATGGTTGCATTATTAATGCTGGGCACTCAAGACGTTCCACAGTAAACAGACTTTAGACCTGGGCATAAAGTCAAGTCCAGTGAGTGCTTTAATTGCAGGTCTCAACACCTTAGTATCAAACAAGAAAACTACCAAATGAAGCCCATCTCTGATCTGACTGGCACTGTCTGCAGATACAGAATCAAACCGCAACACATAAATATAATGCTCTGCATGCTTCTCTCAGTCTAAACGCAGATTATGTCATCTCGAACAGGAAGAGGAGATAAGCCTTTTTTCCTCCTTCTTTCACATAGATAAATAATTCAGTTATCGCTGCAGATGGTAGGCCCGAGGTTGTCGTTAATGTGTGCATTTAAGGACACTGTGCTAAACTCTCTCTTGACAACCTTAACTATATTAGCAAACGTAACCTGTCAGTGAAAGTTAGGCTGGTCTGTTCCGTGGGGCGTGCGGGTGCAGCCAGCTGCTGCTGCTGCTTGAAGGCGGGCTTCACCTCGTCCCTCCTCACCAAGATTCCCACGACCTCCCTGCCCCCGCGCATGGCTGAGGATATTGTCAGACTCCAAAAAGGCTCATTTGCAGCTATAAATCTGGACAAATAATAACGCTTTCTGTGGAGTGCAGTGCATGCAGACAGCTCCTCTCCATCTCACACCCTCTCTTCTCTAAACGTTCGATGCAACAGAGAGGCTTGACACCAAGCATCCTCGTACATCCCCCCCGATGCTAAGGCCAAGCTACAGTGTCTAGTTTTAACAGCTGCAGTTTGGCCCGCAGTATAGACCCGGATTGGTTGCATTTAAAACCACTTAAGTAAAAATAAACCTACCAGCGCCAGACGGTCCCGGCTCCATCCCATTCACTTAGCAGCGCGGGTACAAGCTAGCTAGTCCGGGGGGTGCTGTGGCCAAACCGCCGGCCCCCTTCAGGCTGGAAGCGTCTCAGACTTCCAGCCCCCTCCTCTCGGCGTGCAGTCTTCTCCTTTCTCGGTGTACCCCCGCCCCCTGCCCCTACCAGAACCCCCCCAGACCCGCAGAGGAGTTAAGGCTAACGCCGATAGCTGCCAGTTGCTCGTCTGCCCGTTGACCCTATAGCCAGTAACGGCGTAGCTGCAGGGCGATGCCGTCCTATTTCAAACCACTCTTCCTCGGCGGCGCAGCGGGATCCTTCCCGGTGCTCTGATTTAGCCGATGGTCCGCGGCGCTGTAATTTCTTGCCGTTCTGTTGTGCTCCTGCTCACCGTTCAAGCAGGACTCTCCAGCGGAACAAAAAAGGCCAGCCCCTCGCCCCCCTCAAAAAATCTGAAACTTCTTCTTTGCCATTGGAAAGTGTGAAGGAAGTGTTGACGAACTTGCTGTCACACCCCAGAGGTCGAAGGTGGAACTACACTGCAGATATGCAAATACAGCCAAATTATGTCTCACGTGTCAGAGACTGTGTGCTCAACGCTGAGGTTTAAAACTAATGATCACTTCTTTTATATAATACAGCCAACATATTCTGAGTACATTTTAAAGGTGCTACATCAGGGGTTTGATCAGTTTAATCTCAAAGGGGGAAGATCAGTAAAATTATCTATAATAACAACCTAGAGCATAATAACCTATATATCTGCTGGTGTAAAGAAGTTAAAGAACATTGTGAAACACATTTATTCTAACATTCTTTTATGAAACAGATGATTGAAAGTCAAAGAGTTCTCAACTTCAAGACCTTTCCATCACATGCATCAACCAAAGCAGAAAGTGGACCATTTGGCTTCGTCATGTTCACAATAAAAGCTATTGCAGTTGTGCCATTAGCAATCTTGAAATATAACATTTAACCTTAATTGATAAACTTGTGAACCTACATGCTTGATATGTGACCACCAAGTCTTTCACTTGTCTTTTTTCATCCTCTTTTAGAAATTGTCGCAGATCAGTATCGCCAACTATACATTTGTCTCTTGGTTTATGTTTATTTTAGTAAAGGGCTTAATGATTAATTTATTGATCTGTAATTACTAATTTTATTGCTGTTACATATTTGCTTTTTGAGGCATTAATAACCATATTTTAATCTAAGTCTTTAATCCAATATTTATATCTAAGTCTTTAATGCTTTCATGGCTTGCCTTTGTAAAAAAGAAAAAAAAGAAGAAGAAGTAAAAGCACGAGAAAGAATACTTTATTTTTTAATAAATTACCATGGAGTGTTTATTCTTTCAGTCCTACATTGATTATTTTGTACAGGAAAAAAGAACAAATGTGCACATTTCAGAATCAGAATCAGAATCAGAATACTTTATTAATCCCTGGGGGAAATTATTTTTCCAATAAACTTTAGGGGCTAGAAATAAAGGAATGAATGAATGAGCTCCAATTGAACATTTGAATTCTTACAATACAATATTACAATAAGGGTTGATATATTTATGAGAATATCTAAAGAATTAAATGGGACAATGGATATTTATTAAATTTATTGCCATTATATTTTTTCTCATGTCCCACACGTTGTTGCTTAGGTATGAAAATCACTTAGGGTAGTTGAAATTCAACATGCTGACATTTCAAATATATATTTTTTCCACTAATGATGTAAAACCTTGTTTTTAACTTGATCAATATAATAATGTAGCTGTATTATTATATCTGTAATATTGTATGAAAGTCTTGAATCACCGCTCAATTTGTATGTTTTTCTATGAAAATGTGAAATAAGTGCAACAATTTATTGAAATGTGCAAACAGGCATGGAAATCCAGCCCTTTAGGCAATGGAAGAGTTTGTACAGGTTTATGACCCCTATGAGTTATAATTGGGTAGGACCACCTTTATTTTCCAACACAGCCTGAACTCTGTTAGGCAAATATTCATGTAATTTCTTTAGCAGACTTCAGGAATAGTTCTCCAAGCTTCATTGGAGAACTACTCCAAGGACATTTTGAAGCTCTTCTTAAGATGTTGGCTGCTTTTTGTTCTGTTCTCTGTCAAAATATTCCCACACTGTATGGTGGCTCAAAAGTAGAGAGTACTTTTCTGCATTCATAATTGCATCAATTTTGACAAGATCCCCAACACCACTGGTTGCAATGCAGCCTAAAACTATAGCCTGCACCAGCAGATAGCTGCAGACTGTTGTACTGCTCTCACAACCTCCTCAGTACTGACAGTAATTTGAACCAAACATTTTACAATTGGATTCATCGCTCCATAACATCTGTTTCCATCGATTTTCAGTCCACTTCTTATATAATATGGCACACCTCCGCCTTTTCTCACTGTTTCCATTCGTTAAGAATGGCTTCTTGACAGCCACCCTTCCACTGACACGATTGCTGATGAGGTCTCAGTGAACAGTAAATGGATCAGCTGAAGGGCAAGGTGCATCTCTCAGGTCCAGTGTCAGGTGTTTGTTGGATTTTTTCCTATTTATTATTGGATTATTATATTACAACCCCCC